CTAGCAGTTGCGGTAATATCTGTAGCGTATTTTGACGTACGCTACCGTCGTCTTTATGGCCATCGCTGACATCGGCTGTCGAAAATCCTTTAGTTTCAGAAGATAAAGGATTACTATACGAATATAATGTATATATATTCATTATGATAATAGTTGACCAGAGACACAATTGAATTGTTCCGTTGCCTGGTTTGGTTTTATGTCTAAGACGCTCGTAGCGATCATGCGCAAGTCGTGCGAAATGTCGTCGTGGGGGCATTTTTGACTATTCTACGATGAATATAAGCACATTGGCGTAGGTTCGGAAACAACCCGAACGAATAAACCCATTTTAAATATGTGACGATTACACATACGCATAAATATATATATAACGTATATAGTAACACTGAGTAGGGATGATATGTTTCGTTCGAATAAAAGAAAAAAAACTGCCCAAATAGTCGTCTGTATACATAGATTATTAATTTTTTTGAAGTTTCTCGTTGCCGTGCGTTGGTTGGTGTACGTCGATTTTCCGTTCCTTTTCTCAAACGGGGAACGATTTATCCACGTCATATTGGAAATAAATTGACAAAGACATATGAGATACAGAACCCCAGTAGTGTAATTACGCGCATAGCTATATGATCTCCATGCAGAAAGCAGAAATACTTTGCCGTTTGCAGCTGCCGTCAGTTGTTTGGCCTGTTTCTCTTCTGTCATAACGGGCGCCATATCCTACTAAGCCACGAACGCCCATTGTGGTTTATAATTTTGAGTGAACTTTTTCCACCGATAATTAGAATTCAAGTTTCGTGCCAGTGTCTATTGACGTCGAAATTTTTATGTGTAGAACTTCGTGAAAAAGAAAATTACTGGAACTTCGTCAGCGAATCTGTTCGCACTCTATCGCGTGTCGAACATTATGAGTATGTCTCAAGTTGCTCGGCGCGAGTGATGCCACTGCTACAACGGTCAAGAGCCATTTATAATAGAGTACTTACAAATGCATCTTTTGCCATTACAAACGCATGCGCCATTGAACAAGCGAACCGGCTAGAGGGACAAGGGAGAAACCATCCTGTCGAAGTTTAGGCCCATGAGTACTGGCGACATATAAACACCTGCACACACCGTTATGCATCCACCTTAGGTCATGCACTTCAATCACTTCAATGCAATATTATATATATATATGCGTAAAATCTATATTATAGTAGAGTATCTATACTACTAGCAGTAATAATAGGCGGACGAATATCATCAAGGTAGCATAATACAGTCAAACAAAAAAGTACAATACGATGACAGTTCTGTGCCACCTCTGATAAACAACCGCGTATATATCGCAGATCCAGTGTGGGCATCTGGCCCAATTACAGCTGGTTACAATTCTGATTTCTATTTGTTGGAGACATAGCGTTCTGGGCGGGGGGTAACGGCCGCCCGCAAAACGTAGCTTTCCCGGTATCAATGTATCATTGTACATTAGTTGTTTTTACCTATTACGTAATAGCAATAAAAACATCAGTGATAGTTAATCACAAGAAGGCTCAACTGAACGTTATCAATGTTATCATCGTAGATGTATGCATATACGTCTATATAGTTAACATAATAATAATAATAGCTATATTACGGTTTTCCCTTTCTGCGCTATAGATAGATAGTGGGCTTGCTAGAAGATTATAATAATAGAGTGCGCGCGTGGATGCGTATATACGTTTCTGCCTTAGTTTAGCTTGCTTGCCTACAGATAATTAGAATAACAATTAAGAGCTTTGATGACATAATGTTAGCACGTACCCGTATCCGTGATACATCATAATGCTATGGTAAAGTTCATGAGATCTTTACCTGCATTACGTATTTAACTGTACGTAAAAGCTGCTATGATTCGTATCATCGATCTAGGCCACCGCCGACGTCATTGCTGCTGCTGCTGCTGCTGCTGACGTTAGATTTCCTCATTAATTTTATGTTATGATTGGCGATGTTTCTGTAGGGACGGCGCCTTGAGTCAGTAATGCAAGTACTGTATGTGTAGCTTCGTTACGTATACGTTCAGCCTCTTCCGAAGCTGACGCGCAGGACAACGAAAGTCTATTAGCGGTAACGCTCTGGCAACTTTTCGACGATAACACGGATGTAAAGCAACGTCTAGGTCTATGACACCGGTTGTTGATGGCATCACACGGAACAATAGGCAATGTAAGAAACAAAAACCAGCGGGCAACATCTCTATGGTTCTGGCACGCTTGTCGATGTGCGCTTTCGAAACCTTTTCAAAATTACCTCTTAAAGACAAAACTTAGAGAACAACGATACAATCATCGTCGTCGTCGTCGTTGCCGTTGTCAGCAGCAGCAAAAAGCGCAGAAGACCGCGCACACGTTGAAACGGACCGATCGCGCCCTTTCAATGCGGATCACGCGCCGATCGTACTATGGTCCCAGCCGCAGGCGATGACTAGCGACAATGAATGTTTGACGTTCGATGCGACAGTCCTTTGGTGATCGATGGGGACTTTAAAAATTCTGAATGTATCACTTATTTATTCTTTTACCCTTTCACTGTCTTGCGTGCTGCTGATTGGCACCGCCGATACGTTCCCCCGGCCGGCATGTTTATCGTGCTGCCACAGGTTAACGCCGATGCCAAAGTCTACCATATCGAATACAGACAAATAGAGATAAAGTCAATATTGAGGAATGCTATTGGTATATAACTGCTATTAACGGAGTAAAGAATTAGTCTAGATAATTGTTAATCAAGCGACTGTATCAGAATTAGAATCGTCAATGAGTAAAAAGTATTACGATATACGTAGACACTACAGATGATCGTAGGGCCAAGACGGCTTAAAAACACAAATAATACGACCCTATGCGTAAATACAGTATTGGTAATAGATTAAAGAATAAGACCCATATTAAACCCGAACTTAGCACCTGCTTCGATTTACGACTAGAACGTATCTCTTTTGATTCTTTAAAACGAGCAGGAAATTATGAGGGGCGCCATTGTCGGACGCTGTTGAGTTGATAGTGTATACCTTCAAACCTAGAAAATTTATTCTCGTCCATAATGCGGCACTAAGTTATTACGATATTACCAGATACGTAGTAACATAACTAGCCAAGTAAAATCAAGTCCAAACACTAGTAGTTCTTATACCTCAGTCGACATAGTTATTTGTCCACACGGGACAACCGAAGTGCCCTTACCAGGAACGATGCAATCACAGATTCCAGGTTCGTAAAGCAGCGCCTGCTGTAAAAGCTGGGCGAATCTTTTGTCATACAATAGATAGTCAATTTCGTTCCCGAGTCTTTTATTCAATCTGACGGGAACACTTATGGGAGACTTGCCGTGGAATTCGGCCAAGTGCATCGTACACGCAAATATTTAGCGCGCATGTACGAACCATACGTTTAGAACGATGTGCGCATTGCGTGCCAATGGTCCAAGGCGGTCCTTCCGTACAATGGTTCCTTGCAGGCTCTGCAGTTGGACATCGGCGCTGTGGCACTCAGCAGCGGCTGCTGTGACCGTGGGGCAAGCGTGGCTTCACTTGACAAAGCAAGGCTAATCGTAAACGCTGCTACCACAAGAGAAGTTCCATTAGCACCGGTATTGCTGCTAATAACCGTTTTGGAGCATTGAAGATATGGCATCTGCCCCGAGCGGGTTGCATCGCCGCTGCGATTTGCACGACGGCGTAGTTACAACTCTGCTATAGAAGACTCGTTTTCGAATTTTGCTATTGCCTCAACGATTCTCGAATAGCTACCGACATCCCGCGAGAATGACACCAACATCTTCTAGTATCTATGGCCATCATTCATCTAATCTAGGCATCACTAACGAACAATCCTTTTCTGTAGGACCATCAACATTGCCAACAACTGGACCGTTACGTTGGCGTTAGTCAGTACATTTACTAACAGCTGCTCCTGCTGCTGCCGCGGCGGCCACAATAGCAACTATTTCATGTAGAATTGTTTTTCTTTCTATTCAACTCCGGTTCTCCTCGACTCGCTGTACGCGATCGGCATCTGAGGGTTGATTACCCTTCTGAGTTCTACAGCCATTGTTCAATCGATACTTGCCAAACACAGTGCCATGCATGACTAGCTGGTTTTCCAGGACACATAACAGTATCTATGTGGCTGTAATTTTGCTTATATTGTTCATGTTATAGAACATCTTTGCACGTGTATCCAATGCTATCAATGGAACGGATGATGCGCAGTGATGTTATTATCGCTGGCCGATCACTGATCTCCTCTGAAAGCAAGCGAGCAAACTGCCCGTCAGAATCTGTCTAACATTCACGCCATTTTTCGCTCGCTTTCTAACGTCTCCTCGTGCTTCTGTTACACAATTATATCATCCACATTTCATACAGACTATTCGACGATAGACAAGCCGACTGCAAAATGTTACACGTCTTCGAGCTGAGATCCACATAGGTATGTATGGACCACTCGAATGAACCGCTGGCCTGATGGAGACGATCGCCTGCCTAGAACTGACAGACACTCTTCTTTCGAACGGAAAGTAGTCGTGTGCTTTCCCGACTCTATCGCGATTAGACGAAATGTCTGTTATTAATTGAACCGCATCGTAGAGAATGTGAAACGTAAGTTAATGAAGAACTCCCGAAATGAACATTAACGACGATACCCGACCACCTTTACTTATCCCTATCCTATTCCAGCCAAAGGCATCGTTCTCCCCGATCCATTAGCTCTTGCACTAGCAATAGCAATACCGTCGACCTGGCGGAACTCGTTATGCATTCTGCCGGCGAAGCCGCATAGGCCAAAGTATCGGACGACTAAAAATGCTCTGTAGTCGCAGCTGGACATCAGCGTTCAATTTCAATGAAACTTCCGTTAATATTAGAGGCGGCATCAAACGACCAACACGAGCTTCAAACTTTCTCCTTGAGCTAGAGAATCTGTATGAGTCCTTAGATTGATATTGCTAATCGGATATATAAATAACAAGCGATGCTATTCTATCTATAGAGTGATCGCCGATGCACTGTCAGCGACTCACACAGCCGCTCCTGCGATCATTGAAACGCTGTAAAAAAATTTAAGAGAACGCCAGTGTTTACGCAGCCAACCTTTAATGGCTCTTTAACAGGGTGAAGCGAAACCTACGAGACGAACGATGCGTCTTGCTAGATCTTTTTGGCCGGACTTCTGGCCCCCTCTGGCCCGAATAGATTCCCACCTCTAAGTAAGTCACATTGGCACTTGACTGAATAAATCACCTGCCTCCGGCTTTCAGTGTTTTCGTTCTTGCGAACAGTTCTCCTGATCGTTTATTTATTGTTGTTGTCGTTGTTGTTGTGTTACCAACATCAAAAAATCGACCGTCCAAAAAACTTATATGCCCTCAGACTTTCCGGAAACCGGTGAATACCGAACGCTTTTGGCGAAATAGCTTTATTTTTAGATGCAAAATTTTATTTAGCTTCAACACATGCTTGTACGGGATGGATATGGAAACACGTATAGAAACACCAGATGGCACCAGCTCTCCCCCCTCTGCCAGATTAAAATCATCACCAAACAAATCGTTGCTAGAACTAAGGCGCTTCTCTAGAAGGACATTTGTCGCCAATCGCTGCGATCCTAACTGACAACTTCACCAAAATGAACGGACACGGGCCTTCGGAATAGGCATGGAAATGGTTGGACATTAAGCAGCATCCGAATAGGACGATGACAGAGAAGCCCTAGGCAGTGACGTTGAGATGATTTCATAGATGGTGCACGGTAATCAATGACTGCTAGCCATACGAATGTATCATATGCGTCTTAACAGGTCTAATATTTGATTATGCGTGTGTGTTAGCTAATTTATCAGAATTCGACTGGACATGTGCCTGCCCGATTTGTTTTCTAATTTTTACTATCGAAACGGCCGGGTTTTTTGCTTGACTCTACCAGAACTCCAGGGATCATTCATGTCGTTGAAAAGCAAAGAAATTATACAAGTGGCTAACAGGATGCCAGTTGCTTCTGTGTCCCAGCAATGCAAGTCGTATAGATTTGGTGAGTTCCTAAACGGATATACTTTAAATTGCATTTTTATGCGAACAATTTTCCTGACATTTCCCGTAAGTGACATTAGCGCAGTGAGACGCTCATCGGGCTATATAAAACGTGTTTAAATGTGGCCTCATAGTAGCTAGCTCCTCATAAAGTGACTTCTTGATAGCTCTAGTCAGTTATCCATCGAAATCTATGTGTAAAGCATACGGTATGATTAGGTTGAACGGATAAAAAAAACAAACATAAAATACAGTATACTTCCGTGTATGCTGTCATGCGATAAAATATTTGTCAATGGGTCTTCACTAGTTCGACATATTACCGAGTTCCGCATTTGACAACTTTCGATTGTTGCTTAAATGGTTTCCATTTGATATTTGCTTGTACGGATACATCTTAAGTTATCATGATTTCATCTAACTTTAACAGCTTAGCGAATTCACATCCTTAACGTCGTTACATTGCAGTTAGCTTCAATTGATTTTCAACCTATTCTTTTGCTTACTGTCCCCGGCTTCTTTTCGCCATAATCGTTACGTTAACTCTACCGGACCCTGCTGGTTCGTGACGCAAGTAAGCTAAGCAGGCTTGTAGCATTTCAATTGATCATAGCGTTCTTGTACTCTCAATGGCTACTAGAGCGTCTCGCTCGACGTATCCTCACCGTGACAGTCTGTCTAACGCCAATGAACCAGCCAATCGTGAGAAACGGTCGAGCCGGCTAGACTCGAGTTCAGACACGCACTAGATCACGGCAACGGTAATAAAAGGCTATGGAAATGAAGGGCTCGACAATTCGGTAGGTTTCATTTGCCAGCAGAAATAAATTGTATATTGTCAATTGATAGGGTAGTAGGGTTGACAAACTTTTTGAGGGGTCCTCCTTTAGTTAGTTATGCTTGAGCAGTCGCGTCCTCGACAAAAGCATCGTGAAATATTTCACGTTATTGAGTCTATTAAATGAAAAAGATTTCGTGCACTGAAGGCATATTATTGCGCCGCTCTATTTAAAACAACGAAAGTAGGGGTAGCCAGTCAAAACCGATAAACAATAATAAACGCATAGCTTCCTCAAATACCAATGAATTATGTATACATATATACAAGGTAAGGTTCTCTCGAGCAAACCAGTTCTGTTTAACAAGGTCACCATTTAGATCTGAATAGACAAGTGTTTCTGGCACCGCAAAATGTAAATCTAGCATCTTATTTACCAATTTCTTCGGTAAGATTCATTCCGCTCATCGTCACCGGCATCGCGTAAACATAAATATGTCACTTGCAGACGCGTCTTTCTAGGACCTTCAAGGAATTTCTGCCGCTGCGGGATAAGCCCTGCATAGCTATTCAAAGATACGCTCGCTATTCATTTAAGTAACAAAAAAAAAGAACAAAATGTTGTTCATCAACAGATACTATAAATTTCTAGTATAGACATCGCACTACTTGTTGCTACTTGTTGAAATATATGACTCGATGCCAAAACCACGAAGGAGTGGCCTAACTCCATATGCAGCCTTGTACCAATTCAGCGCTAACGTAACGTCGTCTCCAATTTTGCGTATCTGTCAGCCTGTCTTGTCAGATCTCAGCTTGTTTAGATCACATGCTAGCTGTCACCAAACAGGTCCTCGTGGAATGGACGACGTAGATAGATTTCGTAAGCTTTTGATCAGCTCAGGGGCACACACAGTAACATCTCGAGACGTAGAATTAAGACACCGCTAACTTGAGTCCTGCCACACAACCAAATTCTATAAGCCTTTCAATTAAAGCGTCCTTGTTTTATTGCACATGGCCTGTATATTCGCCTGCATTATGCACGGCCAGTCCAGTCATCTATGCCATCGATACCACTTATACCTTTAGGACTCTTGAAGCCAGGGTTACATTTGGGCTAAGGTCAGACGACACTAACGGAACAATGACAACAGTGAACATACGCACCTAAACGCCTAACTTTTTATCCGTTGTTAGCATCGCCAGCCGCCAACCGGCACCAGCACAGCCATATTCTTTGTGTAGTTATATACGATGTAGTTACGCCTGTTCTTTTTTATCGCTCCTGTTCACTGTTCCCAATTGTCGTTCTCTCTAGCGTAACTTCAAGTATTTTGGCAATTGTTTTTGTTTTTGTCATCTGGTTAGCCATTTCAGCTGGGCGAACTCGACGCCCAAAGGCAGCTCAGTGACAAGCCCAAGAATCGCGAGTTGCTTGAATCCAACTATTTATAAAGATTAACAGGCAGCTACAAACGACGGACAGTTTCGAAAGCAATAACTCGGGTAATTCAGGCAGCAACAGTCACACGACAGCTATCGTTCACGCGCAATGCGCCGATCCACTCAAGTCTTCAGCCGCCCCCCCTGATATTCTACCCCACAAAAAAAATAGATTTGCTGTTGTTGCTGCTGCTGCTGCAGCAGCAGGCTGTTTTGCTGTTTGCCAGTGCTGGGTTTGGGTACCTCCTTGAATCTGCTCATCCGTCAATCACTTTTCCCCGGCGAGCACCGCTGCTGATACTAATAGAGAAATCTTTCATTAGTTACCAACTGCACAGTTTCCGTGCTGCCGTAACTTTTGTCTCCCAGACATATTCGTCCAATCGTTCTTCAACGCAAGTGTTTTTTTGGGATTTTTCTTGATCTCGTGCTGCTGTAAAGCAGGGGCTTTCTGCCCTTAATATTCGATGCTATTTTTGCTGGTTTTTTTTCCTTCACAAGAATAGCGTCCCCTGTAGCGAATAAAGTTGAACACAGACGGAAAACGGGGAAAGCCGATCGGGGATACTGAAATTACGTATTTAGTGAAGATTGTCTATTGCAGATTTAACTATTCACCATTCGAAAAAAATTACCAATATAGTTTTGACAAGATCTCACTTATATCTAAAGTAATAGCGGTGGTAAGAAACATCACTAACACATAACCTCATCATAAACCTCATTTCTTCTGCTGTGTCGGAAGCTAGTAATGAGTAACTATATAGACACTTCAATATGCAGCTGACATTAATGCATTTAACCTTGTACCGTGAGCAATGCTTCTAATTTCGACCACGAAAATTAAAAAAAAATTTTTTATTTTATATATATATATATATATATCATACATTTTAAACTTCAATAACTATTGGGGCTGATACAAAATCGTATAAAAATGCGCTTTAGCAAGAATTTATTAGTTTTTAATACTGGACAGAAATGATGGTGTGTTTATGGCGATTCGTAATCCATTGGCTGAACGATGCACAGTTGCGGTTGTACGTTGGACACGCCAGCGTTCATTCCGTTACTAGCTAAACCCTAAACCATGTTGACTTCTGAATTTCTCAGGTACCAGATAAAAAAAAAAACAGTAAATTTCGCATGAGAGTCCAAAATATATATCTACACTAAGTATTGGGTAGCCTTTATAAGTCTTTGATTTTTTCTTTGAATCGATATAAAGGCAGAATATTATTCTATTTTCTAAAAACCCAGTTTCGCTTGCAGTCATACCCTTCATCTGAAGCCGCTGTTTATGATGAAAGATATCTGCTTCTATTATATTATAAATGCAACACATGACAGCATATTAAAGAACCGCGCGCGTTGTTTGCAATATCTAGATGTGTGGGAATTCAGTAGAGCAGATATGGATAGATTCCGCCGGAACAAAGCCCCACCAGACCAGATTGTGGCGAACTTTGGTTAATTCAATCTGCGCAAATTTCAAGGTTTACTGGTGAATAAAGGTTAAGGTAAGTGAGATGAATATATTGCTGACCTTTAATGATAATCGCATTTGATATAGGGGAAGGAGGAGGGAGCAAGTGCATGATTATATATGCCCATAGATTAACAGGGGATACGCGCTCCCGGGTGCCGTAGTTTTGCCCGGCAGTAATTTTTGTGGTCAGTTACCCTCAAACCTGTGCGTGGTGGGCCAACGTCTCACCCGTGGGCGGCAACGGTATCGTATCGAGATAAACGCTGTCTGTTGCCCCTATTTTAACAAAGCTACTGTATACGAAATGTAGAAGACGGTTGCCTGCTTTGCTTTCTTTCAGTTTGGCAATAGTACTTGATGTAGCGTTCAATATTAGATGAGGCCATTTTTTTAATGGGACCACGTCGATCTTACCCAATACAAACTAGCGTATACTGCAAATTGTCGGATGTTTAGGCTTCTCAACATTTCATCCTCTACTGGATTCAACGAAAATAAACAACGACCCGTAATAGCATGCTAACGATGGTAGCTATGTAAATCCAAGCAGTTGCCCCTATAATCGAAACTAACATAAAATAGTAATTGATCTTCTTAAAGTTCAGGGTGTGTAGATTGCATAGAAAATAGCTGGAGAAGTACCTACTGCGTAAACTTATTGGTGTGTTTTCGCAGACGTACACGACGATCGACTTCGTAGGATGGACAGGATTGAGGAGTGTAGCTGCTACATGATACGTTGCCCCATGTATCCACCAGGTGATGGTTGCATGGTGCCATGATGGGGCTACCTCGAAGTCGTCCTAATTAGGACGTCCTAATTAGGCAAATATCCACAGGTATAAGAAAGGTAGCCGCTCCCGAAGTACTTGTATGTTGGAACACGAGTTAATGGCCGGTTTATTATCAAACTATGCAAATCGAATGTCTATTTAATATAGTAAGCAAATCTTCCCCTGAAGATAGCTGCAGGCATTTATTTTATAGATGAGTAGTTACGTACTCTGCTTGCAAACACGTGTAGATTTTCCATTAAGCTTTTTATTACTATGATTATTGTTACTTTTATCTAGCCTATATTTTTTCTCAATATAAAATTAACAAGCTAGCACGTAAACTAGGCACACGTACGTCGTACACGGCGCACGAATTCGTATACAGCTCAACAAATAAAGCACTTTATCTTGAAACAAAGATTTTGAAAGGAAATAGTGTGCAAAAGTCATTAGAAATGTACGTAACCTAATATCGTTATGCGACACACGTTATAACGTTTAGTTTTCTACTGTCTGTCACCTGTAGACCTATGATGACCGGGTCCGGTTAGCATGCACTCGTCGGAGACCTTAGACCTGAGCAAATTTCACTGTAAAGTCTTTCCTCCCATCAAGATGGCCTGATCAAAGCTGACAAAATTCGGCTTTACACTGCGGCTATAATGGACAAAGAAAGTCCCTGCTAATTAGTTGCATATATGTGTAGTTTACTGGCGTGAGTGTCACGGAAACGGATGGTTGTTCAACAAAAAAGAAAAAAGAAAGTTCAGCTTTCAGGTATTCGTTGCACTGAAGGGTGAGAGGGTGGGGGAAGCGCGAACTGTCGATCGAAAATCGGATCTGGCGTCCGCTTGGAATGACGCGCTGGTTACTAATGCAGAAAACACTATGAACAAAAAATTCGGCTTCCAATGACCTGTCCTGCTGACTCTCATTGACCTTTGGTACAGCAGCTTGTCGTAGATATCTACGAATACGTTGCTGGTAGAAGAGGCCGTACATGGGCCGAGGCCGATACTGGTAACAAGGATGTCCGGCGAAGTCCACAGGACAAGCATATGTAGATGGTGTATTAATGGATACACAAACAGCGATGTGAATGGGGAACGGTGTTGTATACATCGAGGCGCTATCGATTTCATCGACAGGAAACTATGCTAGAAAACGCGTTTATGACGATTAGTTATGACTGGAGCAATACCACGTCCAATCTAGAAGCGAAACGGTGCTCTACGCTAATTGCCGAGAGCTTGATAAAAGGCTTTTACTTGTTAGAAGAGAAACGCGAAATATGATTATACGTGTACGCCAGTATATTTATCTAAGCATATAAAGGTACGGTTTTGTTACGTTACGTAAAAAATGCCCTCATTGCGTTTCCAACTTCCTCATGTCTTAACGGTGAGGAACAAGAGCACAAATGTAATCTGTACAGATATTTTCATATGTCAGTTTTAGAAATGAACAAGTATCGGCATATAAAAAGTGTCACTTATGTTGCCTGACCATGTATTTACGTGCCTGCGCCAAGAGAAGGCATTTCTAATTATGAACTTTCATCACAATGACTCAGCTAGCTGAGCGAAAAGTTCACTATTTTTTTTTTTCAATACAACATATGTTTTCCTCTAAAAGGCACGAATACAAAGATAATCGGACGCCTCAATAAACTACACTCGCTTGCACCTTATCGATTTTTTCTTTCGGGTAAGAATCGCTTAGGCCTATTGAAAAGGTTAGATTCTTGTTCATGGAAAGTCAGACAAGAAGGCTCAGTTAATCAATCGCTCGATCACAGCCCGATGTAATTATCTACAGAATATTATCGATGAGACAAACGTTACGGTCGAACGGCGCCTCGGCCGTCATTTTTACCGTGTGTCGCAGTATTGTTACTATTGTACTCTATAATATATTCATGGCCAATTGAATATATTAATAAGCAAAGAAAATGAAGGGAGGTGAATAAATGTTTACGAAAGTATAACATCTGCTGCACCTAAGAGACAATCATACAAGAGAGGCGTTCTTCGTCGTGACCAAACAGACGCAGAGAGGGATCGTTGATTTTTTTTTATCTATTTAATTTTCGTCTACCTTTATTGCCGTAGAAGTTCATACAATGGCATTGCCAGCTTCCCATTCTGCGTTGGTCGTCGCTTGACTTCTACGAGGATTTCCGCCACCTGTGGTAGCAGTACGCACCACAGAACGGCCTGGTCGTTGTGATCCTCTATGTGGACTTGATAAATTGTCTATTTTAAAGTAGTAACTATAACAGCGCGCATAATGAGACAATAAAGAAGATGATTTACGCCGGTGTGAGCATATGAATTGCGTTGTCAAATGGTATTTTGGGGTTATGTCAAATGATGTTTAAAATGAATTGTTATATGTATATTAGTTGGAAGATTATGTTTAGTGGATAACTGAGAAGATTAAAGAACGTGTTATTTTTGGTTAACAAGCTTTCAAAGGAAAGCGTTGCGCAATGCTCCTCTTCGCCGATAACTACAGAATGCTAGTTCTCTCTATGCTAGAAGAATGCTAGAAAACTCAAGGCGAAGCTTGTTTTCAAATAACCAAATAGCACCATCAGGGAAATAGCTGCACTGGTTCTCCGAATCAAGAATCATCTATCAATGCGAACTCCACGTCGATCAAAATATAATAAAATCTCGTAAATCTCCATGTATGGTCTAAGTACCGGCACATATTAAGACAGGCATTGTTTTTTGCCACTTTTTATCACCTACCTACCTACCTACCTACCTACCTACCTACCCATAGTGGATACTTACACGAACATCGGATCATTAAAGCGGCTCCCCATCTGCACTGCATGTCCTGGTGAATCAACGCGTAATTCCCTACACACTTACCTTACTGTAAATTTATTTGTCACTTTGCATAAGCAACAATGGTCTTCCAGGCTTCCTCACTCTTCTCGCAAGATCAAGCTGCTCCCACGTATTGGCATTCGCAAACATGACGAAAATTACGATACAATCGGTCCCCCTAGAATAAGCTAATCTACCCGTGTCACAGGTATCGAACTGCTAGACGGTGTTCCAAGCACCCATTAGCGATACTGCATAATTAAGCATTTATCTGGCATCGGAAGATTCTCTAGGGCCCTGATTTAAAAAAAAAAATTATTTATCCATGACTGTTCGCAATCGTTGATAGCAAACTGGCAAGTGCAGACTCGAAAATGCCGCTGTGACATTATAATCATGACAGTGGAACAATCGTTTACAGGCCATTCACGAGCAGCCGAAGGTGGTCATCCACATGTTCTGCAGGAAACGGATGCTGCTGGCTGATCACGGAAACGAGGGAGCCCTATTTAAGAAACAGGCCATAAAAATGTCTTTGTGTCAGCAATAGCTGGTTTCTGTTCTTGATCCAAAAAGCTTTTCAGGCGATCGGTTGTCCTAATGCGACCTAGTGTCCGACGACATGAACCGCTTGTTGGTTGAGTAGAATAGACGGTAGAGTCGTTCGCATGGTCTGCCGAAGGGCCAGGGTGGCGTGGAGCCCGTGTGTGGTCGCTGTTGGAAACTTCGGCTTGTGCTACTTTATGCTTCTAGCTGAATTTTGACGCCGATGACAATGTTCTTTCAAGTTACATAGTAAGGTATGCTTCTATAAAAAGTAGCTGTGCGGAAAAGCCACATCTTTAAGAAGTTCTCGTTGACAAAATTTATGTGCATACACTTGTCATTTGGGTCGTTTAAATCTAACAAGTGTTACTGCCCTATAGATCATTTGCTTTTTATTCCTGCCGGAATAGCCAGACCTCATTGTAAATTCCAGACCACACAGAAGATTCAATGAAACATACAATCATAGAAATGTTTTTAGTAGAACAACAAAGTTGTACGAAATTGTAGGAAAAAATTAACCAAGTGAAATCTGCCTGAGCTGCGTACGAAGCCTTTTGATCTTTTAATTCATACGCCTTCTTAAAAGGGGCGCTAAAGAAACCCATCCCAGTTAAATCACGCTGTTTTATGTGACGAACGGCCAACAAAGTTAGACAGGTCGCAACTCAAATTAACGTAGCATTTACAACCGTTAAAAACAGGTACTTTCTTAAAAGACGCTCATTTAGGGTTTTTGTCAGTGTCAAAATACTACTATGTGATGTCGGAATCGTTCAAAACATAAGCCTCTCAATATCAGAATTTGTTCCTGTGAACATGAATATTCGTACTAGCCGGATCTCACCGCTAATTATAATAGTCATAATTATAACTCGATGTATAACTTCCATGAGTTTCGCCAACTCATGGAAGCAATCTTCGCAAGCGTGACTGTATCAAGCTTTCAAAGTGGATAATGAATGATTCGTCGATCCCTCTAACTCGTTGTCGCCATTTAACGGTTCCCCGTTGCTGTACGGTTACTGATTACGGTCTACGATTTTGGCCCGAGTTACATGTTATTCGAGAAGTAAAACGTACGTATAGATAAATCACGCCACCAACGGCTTAAAAGCTGCCACGCTTTATTTGCTGTCTGGTATATGTTCTGGCTTAACCGCAATTTAGCTCTGGACAAGATACCTGGTAATTAATCGCTTGGCCATAATCATCGCTGCCGTCTCCTTCAATCGCTACCAGACCATTGGGTATTAGTCGAATCTCAAACTGCGCAGGCCTGATGTATGGCCGAAACTGGGGTATAGCTTAAAAAAAGTACCCTCGCCTACTTAGCCCTCAAAGGCCGCAGTATTTCCGCGACATGTAAAATACGGTAATCGCTTGCTAATAGTTGCCACCCCAACGATGACATAAACAGAGATATGATTGACAATGGCACAGTGGCCAATGGTAATATTGAAGTGTGGTGAATTCTACAAGACACCCTTTGCCGTACATAATGAAGAAAGGATAACATAGATTCTAGCTATCGAACTACGTGCCTGTAACAGCATGCAGAAAGGCATCGGAGAAGAGCCTCGAGCTGGTTGCTTGTGTGGTTTTGTTTTTATGATAAATATGCTATATGATATTTTCGTCAGATTATTGGAACAAGTTATACAACTTAGAAGGCTAAACAAATACTTTTTATTAGTTTTTCTCGTGAAATAATGAATTTCATCTGGAATCAAGTCTAATTTGCTGGGGCAATCTGGCATCATTGTTGCATCACAAGACTTGCATGGCTTGCAGACCGATACAAATCCGCATGCTCGCGGATGTCGCACTTGTGCCGATGAACAGGTCCTTCTGTTACAGGTTGGGTCAACCTGAAAAGTTTGTTGTTAGTGAAGTACTTGGTACCATTTACAGATCAGCACAATTGTCGACTGGCATTATCAAAGCACTATTACTCAGCTAACAACACCAGGATAAACTGATGATGTCACAACCATTTATATATACATTTTCTCTTCTATAATTAGATAATGATACTATGAAAGTTAAATGAAATAACTTCGGTAGTATCCTATCAATATCTGGAAGGCGTACGCGCGGTACAGCACGTTTCCTATTCTAGACCAGTTATTCAATCGCTCATTTTTAAATCGAATCGAGTATCGTTTTTGTTGCCAAGACATGGAATAATAAAATTATATAATACTTTTTAATTGCGCCATAGATTTTTCCTACGGACCTATGCGGAAACGGAGATCTTCGTCAGGTAATGTCGTCGTGATACAGACTGAACTGCTTGAAACTAGATTTGCTATACTCGTAACAATGTATCAACAACAGCTAGCCGTATTTCAATCATCCATACGTCAAGTGTCAGCATATTCACTGTCCCTGCGCCTAAAATTCGGTGACTATCAACGTTTCAAGCACCTATTATATGAACCGACACACAAAAAAGAATTAGCTGTGTGTCTTGCTTTAGCCCTTGTTGATATTTTGCTGAATTGAGAATCGATACTTCCAGCCCTGTGCTGTCTGCTCGAAACCAGTGTCCTGTACACATAGTCTACTTCGTCCAAACTAAATAAATTCGTGTAACGACACAAAGAGCCGTTTCAATGACAAACCCTTCGAAATTTACGTTCAGTGCTACCGCTAGGCTACTGATGTTAGTAGTGCTTTATACGACGGGCCCCTAACACAAAAATAAACGCATCTACGAGCGGACTTAAGCCTGTCTGCCGAAGTTCAATCGGCAAGCAGTTAGTCATTGCACTATCACGAGGACCCGACCTTAAATACCGGAGCATCCCTTTCGAAGCGTCGAGAGACATCTGTGCCTTACAATCATTCATTCCAGCACGACAATTTTTGGAGGCCTGATCGACGGGTGAATAACCTATCCCGAGACTATCGGTCGTGGCTACCGATACAGTATTCACGTGCTATCGGCCTCACTCGCCCCTTGGGCGTCCGCTAGACAAAGGATAACAACAGGCCGTTAAACAGAAGTACTTGAAAGCATTTTGGCAACATCATCAAGGAACCGCACGTTGATACGCAGGCAGTTGGACGCCGAAGTTGACGTCAGGCCAGTGAGCGCTAGGCAGTCAGAGCTAGACAGCGTAATTACTGTGAAAAAGAGAACGTGGGAACAAGAAGCTTCGGCCGGCGAAGAGGATGTGATAACTGCTCATACAGTTCTGACACTTGGTCACATATGT